GTGCTTCTGCCTAGAGCACCATTTTGCCGGAACTAAGAGGCTTACTTTCTTAATGAAAAACACCTAACAGAGGTTACACTGCTGGTAAGAGCACACCACACCAGGAACTGTAGAAAAGAATAAAAATTATAAAGCCTGTAATAGGCTTTAAGTCTATCAAACAGAAGCTGAAAAAGAATGACAGATTAGGAGTAAAGCAAAAGTCATCAGGAGGTAACAGTGGACCATAAGTGTATGAGTCAAACACGGTTTTGTTGTTTTTTTCTTCCAATGGACGGCTAAAACGTGTAACTAGTAGCCAAGCACGCAGAGACCGACACAATACTGTCATTGTAACTTGTTATGATCTAATCATTACTAGAATTTTCTATATGCCAGATACAACACAGGCCCTCAAACATATAAGCTAAATTGAACATACTGAATATACCGTGTTTCCTTGAATACAGGAAGCTATCAGTTTTAAGATGCACCATTTATTTTATCAACCACTAAAAAACAAAAAAACCGCAGCCAATTAAGCTATGACATGGTTCTTTTTAGAGTTTTGTTTGTATTGAAAGAGTTCTTTTAGACTTATTCAGACACAGATTTTTATAATGTATCACTCTTAGGCAATTATAAAAAGAAAAATAATAGTGAAATAAATTGGTTAAGGCAATGACAATCACGTCACCTGGTTCAAAGTGATTGTAAGATACCATTGATTTGGAAGGTACATCCCAGTTTCAGAGATGTTAAACTCTGAAAAAAATGTGCATCACGGAATCAAGGGAATGCTGTACTACATCCAGCTCAGTGACTAAAATGTAAAAAGGACAAGATAATAGTTCACAGGATAACCGCTACAAAGAAATTTCACAGATTAAAAAATGTGTTTACACGGAGAAAAAAGTTGAAATTATTTGACTATAAGGACAAAAGTAGAACTGGGATTTAATAATGTTCTTCAAGGATATCAAAGTCCTGCCCCATAAAGCAGTGGTTTTCAACTGTTTTTTTCTTTACTTTTTTTTAGCATCAGGACTTCTTCTCAAAATAATATCACACAGTAAACCTGAGTATGAAACTTTTCTGGTTGGGGTAAGGGCATCAACCTAGACATGCCGACTGGCCGTAGAGCTCAGACCAGCTGAAACCCTGACCTGGAGAACAGACATCACCTTCTACCTACTCCCTACTACAGCCATGATAAAATGACAAAGGTTTAAACAATGGTAGTTATCAATTAGTTCATAAAAAATTTACTGTGGTTTGTAAAATATGAGGCACTTGCTAGGTGCTCAGTATAAAAGATTAATCAAGTACAGAGGAGCTAAGGTAACCTACAGGAAGGAATTTCTCTGTGTGGGATTTTAGATCTTGACATGTTTGCTAAAGGATAACATAAAAACTTTCTATCAATCATAAAAGGAGTTGTATTGACCTCAACAGGTTAGGAGCCCTTCTGTCACAACAAGGGGATCAATCATTCACATCTAGTCAATAAAGACCCGTTCTAGCTCTACAATACCAGTCTCTTTTTCAAATGCAAACCAAATAAGGCTGGGTTTGGACAGCTTTGGCTCTTGCCCCATGCCCAACCATGTAGCCAACCTAGCAGTTTGCTGCACTGATCATCTTCCAAAACAAATTCAACTCCACAACTAATTAGCAAGTAATGTACTTCCTATTGAATGTAGAGAGTCACACATAACACTTGTCAAAACTCAAATATCCCCATTAGACCTCTCTTGATACCCACATTTCTCTCATCTCCTTTCTCTCTATTGCTTTTCCTAATACTGTCTCTAACATCCCTTTTATTATACTAAGCAATTCAATCTGGGCTCTAACCTAGTATATCAGCACAGCAGCTCTCTGTCATCTTGCTGTGAATTGAGCATGCTTTGGAAAGATTACCCATGCCCACCCCTACTTCCCATCCTATGCAAACCCATCCAGCTCTCTTGAAAGGGAAAGGATGTCTACAGCTAAGAAAAATAAGGTTCTCACCATATAACCATACCAGCACACAAATAATTTGTAGATGAATATTTTAAGATGATTAAGGAAAGTTAATTTTCCACAAGTAGGGTTATCCAACTATCACAGCAATTGTTCTGTTGATGAACAAGGTAGATTAGACTGATTTTGCTGGGGAGGTGTCACCTCCTTTGTCCCTTGTGCTGTCAGTTACAAAGTTCTTGGTAAAGGAGAATGATCTACTCAAATACAAAGGAACCTTTCTTTGGCAAAGGGCACTCCCTTGCTATAAGCACTAACTCAATTCTCAGATCTGTATTTAATATAAATAGGGATTTTTTCAGAGATGAGAAGAGTCAACTCTGCATCCTATTTTATTCTCTACATAGGAACCATAGATGGAATATTTTCTCCTATAGATGGTTTTAAAATCTGCTGCATTCTTTGACTAGAAAAAAAATGGTGCATGGAAGCTAAGCTATTCTAAGTTCTGAAGAAGACAACCTTCTGACCATAGGCATAAAACTGCTGACCAGGTACCGAAGGTCTGCAAAGGCAGAGAGCTCCATACTGAACATCAGAAAATTCATCCCTCAAGTATAAAAAACCCATTGCTGTCGAGTCAGTTCTGACTCATAGTGACCCTACAAGACTGAGTAGAGCTGCCCCATAGGGCTTCCAAGGAGCACCCAGTGGATTCAAACTGCTGACCTTCTGGCTAGCAGCTTAATTCTTAACCACTACACCAGCAGGGTTTCCCTCTCAAGTATAGCAATAATTATTTTGCCTTCCCTCTGCAAACCAACCTCAGATAAAGTATTCTTTCCATATTAACCCCCAACCCCCACAAAAAGAAACCCACCACTGTCGAGTCAATTCTGACTGACGGTGACCCTATATAAGAGAGTAGAATTGCCACATAGGGTTTCAAAGGCTGTAAATCTTTACAGAAGCAGACTGCCACATCCTTCTCCTGCAGAGTGGCTGGTGGGCTCAAACCATCAAACTTTTGGTTAGCAACCGAGTGCTTAATCAGTGTGCCACCAGGGCTCCTCCTTTCCATATTAGATAATATATATTGTTTAATTCGACAGAAATAAAATGCTAAAGATTTGTGAAAATATGGCAAGTCATTAAACAGTGTCCCTCTACAATGTCAAAGCTAGACATCCCCTTACAGATCAGGATCCCAAGGCCTGAGGAGGTTAAGTGAGATGATAAAAGACATACAGTTCTTCCAGGAGAGTCAAGGTCAGAATCTGATCACACCACTTGGTCAAAACCTGTAAAAAAATGTTTTAATATCCCTGGATTTTCAAATGCACATTTGTTTTCTTACCAGAATTACTTCAAAAATAAGTGGGATCAGTTTGCTTTCTTCTACAAGTCTGTTAGAAAAAAAAAAAAAGATAACCACATATTAGATAATTCATATTTCACTTGCTGCTCTGATATGGAGCACTGTAGCCACATGTTTTATTGCTAAAAGTCTGTGACTGACAAATAGTATGATCAAATGCACATTTTTAATATACTGAACTACGGCTATTGAACACAAAAAATACGAGGCTTCCTTGCAACTCATGTTGCAAGTGACTGCTAGCTTAGTCTTACTGATCTGTAGCAAGTGAAATCTCAAATACATTGATATTTTTAAATGTGAAAATTAAAACTGAGAATTATTATAGAAACTATAAAAGTAGGTAATGTCAACTAGAAGGAGCCCTGGTGGCACAGTGGCTACATGCTCAGCTGGAATGTGACCAATCGTCACTGTACAGTTAAACCATAAGCATGCCACTGTACTTTTTATGTATGCCTCACTAGCTATCTTGTCACCACTAATGAATTAATGTACAATGATTTTCATTGTCATTGTTCAGTGCCATTGAGTTGGTTCTGACTCATAGTAACCCTAAGTACAACAGAATGAAACACTGCCCAGTCCTGCATCATCCTCACAATTGTTGCTATGTTTGAGATTTTAATGACCTTAAATTTTAAAGAAATTGGATACCAATCACCCAATAGATTATAGGCACTTTCCTTTATGAAACCAAGTTATAAAATATCATCCAGTATACCAGGAGAGTTTTTTCATACAATTTAAGAGAAAACAGCCTTAATAAAACCTAAGCTATTTAAAAGTGAAAGATTTTATCAAGAAAAGAAGTATTTCAATTTGCAAATATTTCTTTAGACTAGGGTTCAGCAAACTTCTATAAAGGGCCAAACAGTAAATATTTTAGGCTTTGCAGACCACATAGTCTCTATAGCAATTACTCAACTATGCCACTGTAATGCGAAAAAAGCCATAGACAATAAATAAATAAATAGGTTGGGCTGTGTTCCAATAAAACTTTATTTACAAAAACAGGTGGCAGGCCACCATCTATAGTTTGCTGACTCCTGTTTTAGGGCGAAAAATATACATATGTATGTGTGTGTATATATACACACACACACATATACATACATTATATAATATATATTTTATGTATATATGTATATATTTTATTTATATTACCTATATAAATAAAACCAAATCCACTGCCATTGAGTCAATGCCAACTTATAGTAAGCCCACAGGACAGACTAGAACTGCCCCATAGAGTTTCCAAGGCTGTAATCTTTACAGAAGTAGACTGCTACATCTTTCTCCCATGGAGCAGCTACTGGGTTCCAACTGCTGACCTGGGTTCGAACCGCCAAACTCTCAGTTAGCAGATGAGCGTTTAACCACTGTGCCACTAGGGCTTCTAAATCATCATGGCAGACCTTGGGAAATAATGCAGTAAAAGGCTATCTTATTTGTGTGGCTTTGTTGTGGTTGGCCACTATGATTTAAATCACCAGTATCATTTTACTACATGAGCCTGTTGTATTCTAAATTCTGAAAGAATGAATGCCTATGGTTTCTAGATAGCCTAAAGGGTAAGAAGTAAAGAGATTTACCTGAGTATTTTAAAATCAGAAACAAACAAAATAGAGGTCTTTTGAAAATTACCTCTAATCTTCAAAAGATTATGAAGATATTAACTACATTACAGTATGCTTTTTCTTCTTTTATGTTAGCCATCTAAGCACATGATGTTTAAGTAATTCCAGATGAGTAAATGGAAACATACCTTCTTGAATGCAGTTCCTGGGACTACTTTACCTTGGGTTGTATTTTTTTTTCCTCCTTAACAGTGCAATTAAATAATAGGTTGTGTGGGTAATGAGTTTTGCTTTCAAAGTTTTGTTTCTGGCAAGTCACTAGAGTTTTGTATATCTTTGGTTTATATCACTAAAGAAAGAGCAGCTGTTTGAATTTAAATTTTTTGAATAAACTCATGAAAATCTTTGAATTACATTATTTGGCTCTCTAACCTGTGCCTAAAGTAAATACTGCCCTTTGTTGTTGTTGTTGGGTGCTTCTGAGCCAATTCCAACGCACAGCAACCCCATGTGACAGAGTAGAGCTGCCCTATAGGGTCTTCCAGGCTGTAATCTTTACAGAGCAAATCGCTAAATCTTTCTCCTGCAGAGCCGATAGGTGAGTTCGAACCAGCAATCTTTCCATTAGCAGCCAAGGTGAGTTCGAACCACTAATCTTTCCATTAGCAGCCAAGCACTTAACTGTTGCGGCACCAGAGCTGCCTTTACTATTGGGAAATTATTTTTAAAAATCTATTTATTGATGCTTGAACTATCAATTTTTTTTTTTTAATCTTAAAATACTATGTTTGAATTCTAATCTGTTGAGATTTATCTACGGAAGCTACAAGCACAAATTGATCTGTAAGACCATTTTATCATAAAATGTGCTATGATTTACTAAAGAAATTTAAATATAAACTTTAAACAATGGGTCAGCTGCAAGAAAAAAAGAAATGCTTACTTTTCAAGGTGAAGTCATTAGCAGCGGCCTACACAATTATGGTAGCCTTGGCTTTCTCTATTTTCTGGCATGATTATATATCATATACCTTTCATGACCCATGAGAACATACAGTATCCCACCCACTATTTCTGGCTGTCAGGTTTTTTGGGACTACTTTTCCAGCCAGAAGTATTTGCTACCCTCCAGTGGGGACTTGTGTAAAAGTGAAAGGTGAAACAAACATTCACTGCAGCAAAACAGCTGGAGTATCAGCCTTAAATGTAAAGAAGTACATCCAGGAAGTGTGACTGGGTAAAAATTTTGTCTCTTTTGGCCTTTGTACAGCTAGATAAGCCTTGTAAGCATATTTATGGTTTCCTTGTGATAATTAGGGAGCCCCTGGTGGATTTGGTTGTGTGTGTGTGTGTGTGTATGTGTCACAATACATCCTGCCACCCATGACTGGTGGGACAGACAGGCACCCACTAATCCTCGTGCCCAAGAACCCCCTTAGGTTTGTGGGAACCATGTATTTCCAAATAATATTTCTCAAAATCCATATTACCAACCAAAAATACAAACATACTCCATGAGTCAGCATGCTTCCATTAATGAAACACATGGTATCAAAAAAAAAAAAAAAAAATCAAAGCAGAAAGTAATAGGGTCTTGAAAGGGATATTTATCAAAAAGAAAGCCAAAATGTAAATTAAATCTGCCAATATTTAGCTATGAATGACTAGTTGCAACTTAAATAATAAAATTAGGAATATGTACATAACCTGAGCTGAATTTCAAACCATTATTAACATTACTTAACTTCCCTTTGAGGTTTACAAGTTCTACCCCAAGGCTATTTAGGGATGAACCAAGAACAAGAGTAAAAAGGAATTAAAGTCCCCCCTACTCTGTCCCATCAAACTTCTATTTATTAAGAGAACAGAAGAGCCAGAAAGTGGAGAGAGGAAGGCAAAGGATCTCTGCCTGCTCTGGGCTCAGTTCTTTACAACAAAGGAGTCCCCAGAAGGTAAGACTGTCCAAGAGAACAGCAGGGTAGATCCATGGGGCTACTCTGTTTTGGGTTGGCTTGCTTGCTTGAAGTTTTTAATCTAACCATGCGGGTAAAGATAGGCCATGTGAAACAAGGATCAGAGTCTAGACCCCCAGTTTCCTTCGGCAGACCCCACCCATCAGGGACACTGTCCTCCTCAAAGAGTTTCTTCTACCATCTCTGCATTTCAGGCATCCATCTTGTCATACAGAGCTGAGTATTGGAAACTATTTTCTGGAAACTATCACAGTGCTAAATTTATGCTTAATATTATTGAGCTCTTGTCATGGCAAAGTCTATGCCCTCGAACTCAGAGTCAAGTGGGTTAAAAGATACATAAACAATTACAAAAGTTAACCTCTATTACAGCACAGGATACAACGGAATTGACATGAAGAAAACTTAGCTAGCCCATGCAGGTGACAGGAGGTGTTCAAGAGTCTTGAAAGACATCAGGAATTAGTCAGGTAAACTGTGTGGAGGGGGCAGCTATGCATTTATGGAGAGGGAAGCATGGAGGAGGAGGAGAGCAATCTGAGTGGTACAAGGATGATCTTAAAGATGGAACAGGACGATGCAGCCTTAAAATGTCATGCTAAGAAGTGTGGTTTTTACCCTAAAGGTGATGGGGAGCCACTGAAAGGTTTTAAGCAGAATAATGACACAACTGGATTTGCCGTTCACAAACTCCAATCTGGGAAAAATGAACTGGGGGAAGGGGTGCAGTCTAGCACATTCATACTCAAAGTGTGGTGTGCAGACTAGGGCCAACCTGCAAACTGTAACTGGTCTACAACAAGATCAGTACAAGTATTTGAAAGACCAAGTTTATGTCTGTTGGATCTAATGAAAAAGACTTGAACTTCATGGTAGTTTTAAAGCATGGCACCACCTGATGAACAGGACATTTGCTTAGTCTCATATTATCTCCGTATAAGACATTTACACTAGAGATACCTGGCAGACAGCACGGTAACCAAGTGATCAAGTCCTATACCACCAGTAACAAGACATATGGATATCATGTACCCCTTGATATGACGCACCAAGGAGGGCACAGCAGTACTTCTGTGGTATTCTTGTCAAAAATGCACATTCTCAATGTAACCATGGAAAAACATCAGACAAATCCAAATTGAGGGGCATCTTACGAAATAGCTACCTTGTACACTTCAAAAGTGTCAATGTCATGAAAGCCAAGAAAGACTGAGGAGATATCCCAGACTAGAGGACACTAAGGAGACAATGACAACCAAATTAACGTGGGGTCCTGGTTTGGATCCTAGACCAGAAAAAGAGCAGCAGTGGGACAACTGGCAAAATTTGAATAACATCTGCATTCAATTAACAGTATTATATCAATATTAATTTCCTGATCTTGTTAAAGGTACTATGGCTATGTACGATGTTAATGGCAACATTAGTGGAAGCTGGGTGGGTGGTATATGGAAACTCTTCAAACTATTTTTGCAACTTTCTGTACGGCTAAAATTATTTCAGAATTAAAAGTTCCTAAATTTGGCCCCAAAATTCTTTTGGCTCTCCTCAGTTTGAGACATGGGGTCTATGTTCTTTCCTCTTGAAGCCTAACAGCTTTGTGGCTGTAATGACCAATAAACAGAGTAGGGTGGAAATGACACTACATGATTCTTGCTTGTATTCTGTTTATCTGGATTTTTTTAATATTTCCTTTTTTAATAAAAGGTCTCCATTTTCTTGCTGGCTGTCAACCAGGGTTGGCTCTCAGCCCCTAGAGGCCACCCACATTCCTTGACACATGGTCCTATCAATCTCAAAAACCAACAACAAAGAATGCCCCCTCCCCCGTGTCAAATCCTTCTCAAGCTTCAAATCTCCCTAACTTCCTTGTCTCTGACCTCTAGATCAGATTTAAAGAGCTTATATGATAGGTGAGGCCCACCCCAGATAATCTCCATATCTTAAGGTCAACTGATTTGGGACCTTAATTACACCTGCAAAATCCCTTTACAGCTGCAGCTGCACCTAAATTAGTGCTTAACTGAATAGCTGGGAGGTGTGTGTACACCAGGGACTAGGACTTCTCGAGGGCCATCTTAGAATTTTGGTAACATCAACCTGAACTGGCTCACCCCCAATTCCACTCTACCCCTGGTTTCTTTGTTTGTTTTTTAAACAATTTGTAGTTGATTCTTTGAATAACCTGCCTCTGGCCAACTTGTGTACAAACCCAAAACAGCAGCTGGATTCTGTTTAGTTTTCCAACAATGCTGGTTGGGAGTTTTAGATTTCGTATTTACTCTGTAACTGACTGAGCACTAGACTACAAACAAAACTTTCATTTCTTACAGCTTATATAATTTACCAGTCAAATGGGCCAACAAGAGTCATTTTAAATTAAAAATCTCTAACATCAAACTGAATTTCAAATTACTGGTTCACTGAAACAGCTTCAAAAAGAAATGGTTTCATAATGTTTAGTTACGGTATGATATTATGTCTATCCTGAAAGGAATAATATTTGTGACATTTCTCTTTGAAATGTTTGCCCTGGCCTGCAATGCTTGCTAATCTACTTACAAAGAACTGCAGAAGTCTTACCAATAAAGGTACACATATAAGGAGTTCTTTTTCACAAAATAAGGTCAGGGTTGAGATTTCAGCAGCTTTAGTACGGAAAAATTTTAGAGCTGGTCATTTTACAAAGATCTATAGTGTCTTCCTTATCGATAGGCATTATACATCTTGTCTAAAGAAGTTTGCACCCCACTGGGCACAAGATATTCGATACAAAAATATCTTAATCCAAGTTATAATGCTTACTGCTTCATTTGCTGAGAAATTCTCAGAATTCAGTTAGAATATGAGGCTACATCCAGAATGCATCTTCTATGTATGGAAATCCCCCACTGCCTAAAACAGCATGAAATAGATCTGAATTTCTGTAAGAAAAACTTCCATTAAAAGCAAGAGTTTTCCAATAGAAAGGAGGTTTCAGATGAAAACAGAATTTCATGTTACATTATATGTTTTAACTTCGCAAGATGCTTTTACATCTATTATCTCATTAGATGCCCTGCACAGCCCAGTGATAGCCACATCTGTTGAAGGAAACAAGGCCCCAGAATGTAGTAATATGTCTGTCACAGAAAGTATGAAAGGCAAGACAGAAGAGCCACAGTCAAGAGGATCTCCACGAAGTATGCAGACCTCTTTTACAAAGAACCTCTGGCTCTCCTTCAACTCCAGACATTATGATGTGCCTAAAATCCCTGTTTTATCCAGGGCTTTACATGAATTGTCCCTGCTCAGGCAGTAACATTCTTGTTAACCAGCTGAAGGTTCTGGACCCTTGTGGTGTGATGAATTGCTTTTGTGTGGTCCTTCTCACCACAGTCTTGTTAACTCCCACCCAAGTGATTGGATGGGAATTTACAAATAAGGTAATTGTGGCCCATCAAGGGATTGGATAGTTTGCTAATAATGCAAATAAAGTCCATGGCACCCGTGTGGGGGGGTGGGATCATGCAAATAAGGTTTATGGAACCCTAATGAAGGGATTGGTCGGAGATTGGTCAGTTTTGCCAAACTGCTAGGCTTCAAATGAGCCATCCCAGAGGCTGGAGGAGAGGATCTTAACCACCACCAAGGAAGAAGAGCCAGGAGCAGAGTGTGTCTTTTGTACCTGGGATCCCTGCACTCCTGGAACCTGGAGACAGGACTGTAACAATGAAGATGGCAAGAAGTGGTGGCAGAAGAAACAGCAGCGAGGCAGGAGACCGGCAGGAGATGGTTCACAGAGTGAGAAAGCTGAGTGCCTTTGGGCAGGAGGCTTGCTGGCGGAGTAGGGTGCCTCCAACACTTGGTAGAGCTAGATTTACTGACCCACAGAGCTGGAGCTGAGCGCCTTTGGGCCAAGGCTTACTGGAGGAGTACGGTGCTTCTGGGCACTTATCGGCAGAGCTAAAAGAGCTTTGAACACTTGCCCGAGCAGGGAAGAGGCCGAGCAGAGAAGAGGCCGATGACCAGAGAGAAGCATGCCTGTGGGCATGGCTGAGAAGAGGCTGTCCTGATTGAAGAACTGTATCCTGAGTATGCCTGAACCTGAATTGTAATCTGTTACTTCCCTAATGAACCCATAATTGTGAGCATGGTCTGTGAGTTCTGTGTGACCATCACAATGAATTATCAAACTCAGCAGAGAAGTAGAGAGTGCCCTGGGAGGGACGGTTGGTATCAGAATTGGTAAAGATGGTGGAGAGAGGCAGCATATCTGATCCCCACCTCATAGGAATCAGCCTTGGGCTTTTGATCTTGATTCTCCTTATCTCTTGTGAAGTTAGAGGAGGTCAAACAACACCCCCATGCTATTTTTACACTGCTCATTCCCACATCCTGCCCAATGCTTTGGGTTGTTCCTTGTTCCTGAGCTGTCAACCTCTATCTCTGAGCCCTGTGGCTCTGCATCCTGTCTCTCTTCTCTACTGATTCCTGGAATACATGGAACTCTCCCAAAGACATTATTCTGTATTCGTCCTCACAACTCCACATGTTGAAACTGCAGGTAAGAGGCAAGCCCATTCCTACACTTGAGCAGGGAGGGAAATGAACAGGAAGACTATCACTAGTAAGATAAAAGACTGGCAAGGGCATAGACCAGAGGCAGGACTCTAAGAGGGCCACCTGACTGCACATATAGCCAGCCTCTTTTCTCCTACAGACATGAGCCCAACAATGGAAAGCATTAATTGTACAAGAGATATTTTTAAGATACTTTTCAATTTAATGAACCTGCTTATTTTCTATTGTTCCTTTTTGTCCTGTTACTTAACGACATGCAATAGCTTTTTGTTTTGGAATCTTCTTGAAGTCAGACTTCTCTCTCTTCTCTCGCATGTACTCAATGAATATTTGCTGAGTGTCTATTATGTGCCATGCACTAGGCTAAGTGAAGCAATTTCAAGTGTTAAGTGCTAGGAACAGACACCTATAAAAGGTCCAGAAGAGACAATGGAAGTAGTCCATTCTACCTGAAGGGCAGAGGAAAGGCTTCAAAGGGTAACCAATGACAATGACAGTAGACATGGTTTGTGCAGTTACTGTGTGGAATGCACTTCTAAGTGCTGTACGTGTGCTAACTCACTGGATTCTAATCAAAAAAAAGAAAAACGTTAGGAAAAAAAACTTTTTTACAGATGAGAAACTGAGGCACAAAAAGTTAAATAAATTCATCGAGTGGTAAGTAGCAGAGCTGACCTAGAAACCCAGGCAGTTACGGTAAGGATCCACATTCCACAGCAGGCGAACTGCTTCAGCTGAACCTTGAAAGATGAGTGAATTATTGACAGGCAGTGGGTGGAGGAAAGGATTGGAGGGAAGAGAGGAGAGGTAAAAACAAAGTCTATCCTGGGCAAACGGAACAGCATGAAAGAAAGCAAAAACAGATGGCTCATTAAGGGCAGTGAACATGCAAGTTTACTGCATAAGTGAGAGGTAAAGACAAGGTAGCAAAAGATTGGGCTGGAGGAATAAGCTGGAGCAGATCACAGAAGATGTTACTAGCTATGCTGAGGAACTTAAACTTTATGTCTAGGTTAACTTCATCTTCAAAATAACAGCTACCATTTCTTGAGCATGTACTACAGGTCATACTGTGCTATATGCTCGGAACTCCATGCCTTATTTAATATCTAATAACCATGAGTTAGGCGCAGTTTACAGAGGATGACACTGAAGCATAGGATGCTGAAATAATTTGCTCACACTCACAAAGCTAGTAATGGAGCTCAGATTAGAAACGGAATCTTCATAATTTAAGAGCCTGTCAGATATATTTGGAGGGCAGGATGGGAGAGAAAGTTCAGAATGTATATATAGTTTTTTTTTGTAACCCACTGAAACATTTTCCCACGTCATTAAATGTCCATTGAAAACACGACTTCTTAAAGTTACATGTGAGGCATTGGTAGTTCAGTAGCAGAATTCTCGCCTTTCACTTGGGACGCTCTGGTCCGATTCAGAGCCAATGTACCTCACACACAGCCACCACCCATCTGTCAGTGGAGGCTTGTATACTGCGGAGCTTCCAGACTCAGACAGACTAGGAAGAAGGGACTGGTGATCTACTTCCAAAAATCTATCACTGAAAACCCTACGGATCACAAAGGTCCAATCTGCAACCAATTATGGGGATGGCACAGGACCAGGCAGCATTTCATTCTGTTGGGCATGGGGCTGGGGGACTATTCAATGGCAGCTAACAACACAACAATAGCTACATAGTTGTCCAACTTAAAATTTATTTAACTAGTCTTCTATTGCTGGATCCTTGTTTCCCACTTTCTACTAGTATACATTTGGAAGAAAATAAATATACAGGTTAAGGGTTCACTTCAAATGAGTTCAAATCCTTCCTCTGAATCTCCCTAGATAACTGGTTAAGAGTTATGGCTGCTAACCAAAACATCAGCAGTTCAAATCCACCAGCTACTCCTTAGAAATCCTATGGGGCAATTCTACTCTGTCCTATAGGATCACCATGAATCAGACTCAACTTGATGGCAATGGGTTTACATTTGGGTTTATTGCTCCAGCGAAAGTTACATAGACTCTCTAGGTGTTACTTTCTTCATATGGAATACAGTAGTCCCCCAGTTATCCACAGGGGATACATTCCAAGGCCCCTGGGGATGCCTGAAACCTCAGATAGTACTGAATCCTATATATACTATGTTTTGTCCTACACATATATACTTATGATAGTTTAATTTATAAATTAGGTACAGTAAGAGATTAACAACAATAACTAATAAAATAGAACAATTATAATAATATACTGTAATAAAAGTTATGTAAATGTAGTCCCCAGGCAGGACGGAGCATGATTTCATCATACTACTCATTTAACATTTTTGGACCTCGGTTAACTGCAGGTAACTGAAATTGTGGATAACTGAAACCAGAGAAAGCAAAACTGCAGATGGGGTGGAGGGTACTGTACGACTGCCTGCTTCACTTTGTGATGGTGAAGAGTAAATAAGGTTGTGCCTTTGAAATATCCAATAGTTGTCAGTACATAAAAAGTACTTTTTGAAGACAGAGGCTAGATAACTTTTCTATTATTATTGTTGTCGTTTCAAATAATCTTGTAGGGGGCATACCTGTAATTAAACATTTGTGCATATTTTTTACTATTGTTTTAGGATATATTCCTAGAAGTGGGACCAAAGAGGATGTAAGGTTTTTAATCGTCACTAACAGTTGCTTATCACAAAGGATGTGCTAATTTAAAAGGTAAGCAGTGGTGCCTAAAAGTATACATTTTCACTGGACTTTCAACAACGATGAGTGCTACTGGGGGGGGAAAAAAAACCTATACCAATTTTTTTTTAAGTATCTTATTATCTTAAAGGAATCTTCTTTGTAAAGATTATTAATGAACCTTTTTTTCATATGTTTTATTGTTGACAATGGCCTTTTCATGCCCGTTTGTCTATCTTCCCTCTGCATTTATCCTACTTTAGAAATCTCAAGATACCTAATGAAGTCTATCCTTAAAAGCTGACAATTTTGTTTACTTATAAACAACCAGGTTAGGCAGGATTTCTGACTCCAAGCAGAGAGGAAAAACGCACACAGAAAAGCAAATGGTGCATTCTGAGAATACAAAGTACGTCGAAAGGCATTTAACTCATTGAAGAATCATGATTAGGCTGCTTGGCTGCCTGGTTTTGTTTTGTTTTTTTCCCCTTCAATGTAATATGCTATGGCAAAGAATGCTAAGTGATAACACATGTTCGAGATGGTAATAAAAATGTGCCAAGGAAGTTACAAAACATTATTTGAATCGCAGACCATTGTTTAGTCTGGCGGCTCTTGTGCTCTTTAATTATATGACAAAGGCCTCGTCTGTACAGCAAACACTATGATGTATTCTGACCAATAGCTGTCATCACGTAAAATCAGAAGACTCTTGAAATGGAAGAGGATTTGTTGTTGAGACATGACAAATGAATCAGGAGTCTGTGCTTTATGCCTCATGTTACATTCCATCCAGTGGTGGGTCGGGCTTCACTTTGTTCTAAGGAGTTGACTGACAATGACAGGTGTATATAATTTATTCAGAGACAATGCATGACTTTATCAAAAGTAGATAACAACAACTAAAAAAGAGTTTTTGCAGCATAAGTTAACTCTGAAATGGTAAGTCAGCTTGGTAAATCACCAAAAGAAAGTAGAAACATTAATACATGATTGTGATTCAAAAACTCGCCAAATATTATCAAGAAATTGACTGTTTCAGACTTCAGAAGGTACACTGATCATATCGAAAAACTCCGTTTAACTATTTATTTCTACAGTTTGAATGCCATGAAAATAAAGGTTCCCAAGTTATGTATGTGATATGTAAAGAGATTCAATGATCATATAAACACAAAACATAAAGGCACCATATTGCAAGATAATGTTAGTTTTGCCATTTTGCCATTGTTTTCAGTGTTTCACAGTTTAATCTCATCAGAAGCAAAACAAACTTGTCTTTCAAGTACAAAAATAACCAAAAAAGTATTAACTCATGAGTCAAAAATCAAAGCCAACAAGAAAAGTTGAAAATTCCTACGAAGCAAAGATCAGTAGATGTCAAAACAAATACATGTTACATTAATATAACAGTGCAAGACAATTGGTTCAACTGTCGTTACACATCTCTCAAAAAACCAGCAAAATGGAGATGGTAATCTGATGTTAAATAAACAGACAAGTAATTTTTTTTAAAAATCCCTTTTAAATTCTGAAGATAATGATACCTACAGGGGTTAGATGAAGAAATAGGTATTTGTTATGCTAAAGGATAAAGCAGAATGCTTTGATGCCAGACCCCGTGTGTGTGTATGAGAAACCAAGTGATCCACTGAAGGATATCAATGTTTGGATGACGAATGGCCTGTGAAAGCTTATGAAGGTTTGGGTTGTACCAGTGCCACCATAGTGCCATCTTCTCATAGGCATTGGTATCATCAGCCTGACACTACCCATTCTACTGGCACACAGGCCACTTACATGTCTCACCTCCCCAGTGAATCAGCTGAAAAGTTCACTGCACTCACACATACAAAACTGACTGCATAGACCCCACAGGAGGGTTCCTCTATGCAACTGAATCATTTTTTAATAATTGCTGGTGAACGGAGGCTGCCGCTGAACTAAGCCCAATGTATAATTGCTCAAGACACTTGGAATCTAGCTCTGAAATTCACATCACCCTCTGACAGCCCAGGCCAGACCTCCTGCAGTAAAATAACGTTATTTGAGTTCCGCTCAGTATTTTCACAGTATTTCATGTCATCTTCATAATGGCCACAGAATTTGTGGAACAGTCTATGGCTCTGCCTAGTGGTCCTGAACAGCTGGGGCTCTTCATCAGGCAGAGCTGTGGAGGAAATGATCAGTCAGCTGTACTCATGCCCTCCCTCTACCCCAGCATCACCCAGGGGTCTGTCGGGCTTCACTAAGACATGGAAAATTGCAGCCTCGAATTGTGTGTCAAAACCCCTAAGTCTGAGCAAATAAGAAGCAAGTGTGCCTACAATTTAACCAACACTGTAGATATACAAGAAGCAAGAAACCTGGATGATATCCACCTTAATCAGGAGTTCAGAGAGAAAACGGAGGAATGATCCAACAACACATGCAACCTTTCACTCAAAAAAACTACTGTTCCCAAAACCTCGAAGACCGACCCTCTAGGAAGGGCTCCAGAGGGGACTGACAGACCCAGACAGGTGAGTCCCTCTGTCCTATCTGCAAGCTAAAAATAAATAGTGCTGCACATGCTTAAAAAAATTAGGGAATATTTAATACATTTTTGCCACACGGGAAAATCCTGTCTTAATTTTTTTAAAAGGCAAGTATAAAAGCAGGAACTCAAACATAATGACCACAATAAGCAAAATAATATCATTTTTATTATCCATATATCTGTCTTAGAAGAAATACAGCCAGAATGCTAATTAGAAGCGAGGATGGTGAGACAACGTCTCACTTACTTTGGACACGTTATCAGGAGGGATCAGTCCCTGGAGAAGGACATCATGCTTGCTATAGTAAAGGGTCAGTGAAAAAGAGGAAGACCCTCAACGAGATGGATCGACACAGGGGCTGCAACAATGGGTCAAGCATAACAACGATTGTGAGGATGGCGCAGGACTGGACAGCGTTTCATTCTGTTGTGCACGGGGTCGCTACGAGTTGGAAATGACTCGACAGCACCTACAACAACATATAAAGTAGGAAACAAAAGATAGTAACAAATGGCTATGGCTCCAAATAGAAATATACAGAAAGCAACGATGCATTAGCACAATGTGAGTTATCACTTATATAAGTATTGTAAAAAGAGGAATATAATATAGCTTCCAATTATCCAGATAAGAATTCAATACCTTGACCTCTCAATTCACTGACCTCATCATTTCCAGTCTTTTCTTACCTCTTTTTCAGTCACTCTCTAGAGAGTTTTATGATCAAAAACTGCATCACTGAAAAAAAACTCATTTTCAAGCATTCCAAAGCCAGACTGCCACTTCCTAACCTTCCAACCCCTCCACATGTGCACTGGATTCTAACTTTTCTCTGTAAGGGAATACTGCTAGAAGATAGCTTCTGGGGGCAAGAACATCAGTCTAGCAAGTCACCACTTACCCTCTTGCATCATCAGGTTTACCCTTTCTATAAGATCAAGAGCCAGAAATAAATAGTTTAGGCTTTGCAGGACATATGATCTCTATTACAACTACTCAACTTTGCCACTGTATAATGCAAAAGCAGCCACATGGACAATTTGTAAATGAATGGGCATGGCTGTGTTCAATAATACTTTATTTACAAAAGCAGGCCATGACTGATTTGGCCTGAGGCCACAGTTTACCAATCCCTGTAGTAGATCATTCTCATCAGCATAGAAACATAACTAAAATATTACTCATCTTAAAAACAGACCAAAAAAAATTTCTCTTGACCCCACGTCTCCCTCCAACTCCCCATTTTTCAGCTCTCTTTTATAGCAAAATTCCTTTAGAGTTACTGATGTTCCCTATGTCTTCATCATTCCCCCCTCAATCCACTCCACCAGGCTTCTGCTCCCTCCTGCCACTGAAAATCACTCCTAACTGATGCTCTCAACACGAGCTGACACTGTTATTATTCCCTCCTCCTGTAAGTCCCTGAAAATTAGGACCTTGCTTCTTTAATAATGAAGCAAGCATTCATGCAGCTAAACAACTCCCTCACCTCAATCTTATATGTCAACTTTCCAAAGAGTCTCTCTCTGACCACCCTTTAGGAAACAGCCCACTCCAGTCCATCACTCTCCATTTTAATTCCCCTGCTTTATTCTTTACAGTACTTGTAACTAGCTGAAATTGTTGTTTATTGATTTCCTTGTTCATTGTCTATGACGTCCATATAATCATAAGGCCCATGAAATGCAGCATCTTGTCTGTCTTGCCCGCTCAGTGAACACCCTCCTACTGAGTAGGTGCCTAATAATTATTTGTGGACTGACTTAAAGAATGAATGAATAAAATTTTCTTCCAGGTGGAAAAATATCAATCCGACCCTGCTCTGAAGTTTCATGATTCTAGGATGGAATAAACTGCAAGTCCTCAAGAGACTGTGAAGAAGAGAAAATTAGCAAACGAATTTGCTTGTGGGCAAATATGGAAATATGCTAGGGGAAAGACGATGATTCTGTTAAAGATGATCTCTGAGCTCCTGTTTAAATACAGAAGAAATAAACTGAGAATTGTCTGTTGACTGTAGCCCCCAAAATACCAGGGTCACTCTGATCAAAGACTAGTTAAATGCTGGCTCTTGACACAGGCACGTAGTGAGTATTCAAGCCAGGGTGTCATGTGACCAAAGAGACATGGGCACCTAGGACTCTTTGCCAGACTCTGGTTCCATTCCACGAGGAAAGTGGTCACCAAACCCATGAAAGTCAGAGAAGGACAACTGAAATGGCCAAACTTCCAGCACACAGGGCCACTATGAGAATACAGACTCGAAAGATTGTTTCTGATGGCAGAATGAACAATCTCAATGGACCCAACTCAACCCATGCAATAGCGACAGGAGATGAAATGTCTATGACGTCACCACGAATTAGAGGAAATCTTTGTGAAGAGTAATCAAGATAATGTAAGAAAATAAGCAGAAGTATTCACTACCACCTATCCCAGGCAAAACTCACACAAGAGATTTTATATTCTGAAAAATACTCCAAAACAGACTTAGAGTAGTTACTGTTGATCTTTCTCATGAGTTAGTAAGAAAAACAGAATACCTTGGATCAAACTTCTAAGCTTTAAGGTTGGTGTCATTCATAATCCTGCTGAAAACAGAATACTGGGGTGAATGGAAAGAATTTAACACTTACTCCACCCAGTTCCTGGAGGAGATATAATGATGAGTTATGTCATAAGAAACATAGTGAGGAGGGGTGTTAGCCCTCTCAGTGTGGTTTAAGTCATGACCCAGAAAAGGGTTCAAAAACCTAGGAGGAAAGGGGAAAGAAAGGTTGAACAGAACCAAGAACTAGGATCATGCTACAAATCAGGATAGTGCCCAGAGCTGTCACAGGGTAAAAAGCAAAGAGGAAAGGGAGACAGAATCTCATGATGATAGCAGAGGGAAACATCTGGAAAATCACCCTTGCGCTTTTATCAGATCCACATAATGCTGAGGATCACTAGGGTGAGGAATTGGATCAAAGTTTCAAATAGCTCTAAAATTCTAATATTTCAGTGTTCACATGAATAAAAGCAAAAAAAGTTCTATTCCTTTAGATCAGGAATTCACAAGTGTTCTCTGTAATGGGGCAGATAGGAAATATTTTAGGCTCTGTCAGCCATACGGGCTTTATTTTATATTCTTCTTTATTTGGTCTGTTTGTTTTACAGCTCTTTATAAGTGGAAAAACTATTCTTACCTCCCAGGCTGTACAAAAACAGGCTGTGGGCCAGCTGGCCCCATGGGCCATAGTTTGCCAATCTCTGCTTTAGATGACAAGGGAAAGTCTACAGACTAAGGATGCCATGCAAAACATAAAAAGCTTTAATGAATCCACACTCAAATTTAAAATCACTCTACAACGCACAACTGGGGAACCACTATTTGTAAATGTGTGCGATAAGCTCTAAGTGGCTGCCTTGTAAATCTCACACCAAAAAAGTAATCTGAAACCACCCGCTTCTGACGCAGAAATAGCTGCTAAGTATTCGTGTGACCTTGAACTAACATCTGTGTTGAAAGAAAACAATGAGAAAACATCACTGTGTTGAAATACTGGCTAGAGTCCAGCAAACACAAACTCAACAGGTTCATAAATCAAGGGATCCTCTGCAAGGAAAACATATGTCTATTCTAAATATTTATAAATTCTGAATTTCTCTAGAACCAGAAACGACAGCATAAAATAAACACATCTAAGTACCACCCCTCCTTTATAAAGCTATCCCTTTACTTACAGCTATCAGAGACAGCGAACTACCAGCAGTTGAACTAAGAAAAAGGACTTTCCCAGAAAAAAGAAAAATGTTAAACTTTTTAAGAGTAAAATAAACTTTTATGCTCATAAACGCTAAAAGGAAAATTTCAGTAGAAATACGCAAAATACTTCAGCACAGTCTATGATTAGAACCAATTTAATTTCTAGTTTCTTCTTAAATAACTTTAATTACCAATAATACATGAGGTTCAAGTATGCAGGACTATTATCTGAAATCACGGAATAGAAAGGAAAAAAAAAACTTTTGATTCACGGACTGATGAAAGGAGCAAACTCAAGAAGTACTTAGTGTTTAAATATTTTACACTTACTTTATCCTCTGAAATTGCTGTACTTTACTAAGAAGTGGCGATATGCACTCTATTTGAGTAACTGACTGAGAACACTGGAACATGGGCTATCACCACAAAAGAGGAAAGAGCAAGGTAAATATGAACGCTTAAGCATCTCTTTTGGGAAAATGTTGTATTTTATTCTGTGGAGTGCTGGTAAACAAAAAAATGTAAAGCTACGTAAGAGTGAACCTCCAATGGAAATGGAAGCCTTAGAGACTCGAAGACTTCCTTGTTCCTCAGAGTGAGGCATTTCAATATTCATAGGCACCCTAAGCAGTAAATTATTTGTAGGAAAAAGAAATTCACTCTAATTTTAACAACACAGTTTTACTTCTTATGTAATTATATACTCTGAGATTTTACCAGAGAAAATATTTTAGTTGCATAAATTTAGCAAATTTTCAATTGAGAACAACCAGCACCTAAATGGCTTATTTAACAACTGGAAAACATCTCAACCATCTACGGTGATTTAGACTTTTACCAGACTAAACCAAACCAGTTGCTATCGAGTCAATTTCAACTCATGGTGACTCCCCATGTGGAGAGCAGGACTATACTCCACAGGGTTTTCATGACTGTGACTTTTTAGAAGCAGATCCATTGATTGCCAGGCCTTTCTTCCAAGGTGCCTCTGGGTGGGTTCAAACCACCAGCCTCTCAGTTAATAGTTAAGTGCTTTACCATTTGCACCACCTTCAAATATATCAGAATATGGCAAACTTTATTTATATAAATTGAAAGGCAACCTCAAATGTAAGCCATCTTGTGACTGTGGTGTTTTCTATGGCTTCTACTATAGTTACCCAAAATCAATCTAAAAAGACTACCCCATGCAGTTTCTTTCCATTACAGAAAAATCCCCTCGCCTCAGATTCCGTGTAGGGTGTTAGAGTTATACTTTGAATCAGTATCACCAAATATTTCTCCTTTCTGCCAAAGGGGTCACTTCTTCCAGAAATACATCCTTCAATATTACTTCCTGTAGAAAAGGAGGCATCAGGATTGGAGGAAGACTCATTAACAACCTGCAATATGCAGATGACAAAGCCTTGCTTGATGGAAGTGAAGAGGACTTGAAGCACTTACTGATGAAGATCAAAGATCACAGCCTTCAGTATGGATTACACCTCAACAAAGAAAACAAAAATCCTCACAACTGGACCAATAAGCAATATTACAATAAATGGAGAAATACCGAAGCTGTCAAGCATTTCATTTCACTTGGATCCACCATCAATGCCGCGGAAGCAGCAGTCAAGAAATCAAATGACGTATTGCATTAGGCAAACCTGATGCAAAAAACCTCTTTAAAGTGTTAAAAAGCAAAGATGTCACTTTGAGGACTAAGGTGCGCCTGACTCAAGCCATGTATTTTCAATCGCCTCATATGCATAAGACCGTTGGACAATGAATAAGGAAGATAGAAGAATTGATGCATTTGAATTACGGTTTTGGTGAAGACCATTGAATATACCATGGACTACCAGAAGAACGAACAAATCTGTCTTGGAAGAAGTACAGCCAGAATGCTCCTTAGAAGCAAGGATGGTGAGACTTTGTCTCAGGTACTCTGGACATGTTATTAGGAGGGACCAGTCCCTGGAGAAGGACATCATGCTTGGTATAGAGGGTCAGCGAAAAAGAGGAAGACCCTCAATGAGATGGATTGACATGGTGGCTACAACAATGGGCTCAAACATAGCAACAACTGTGAGGATGGCACAGGACTGGGCAGTGTTTCATTCTGTTGTACACAGGGTCTCTGTGAGTGGGAACCAACTCAATGGCACCTAACAACAACAGAAAAGGAGAAGGAAGGGGAAGATGAAGGGAGGAAGAGAGAGGAAGAGGAAGAAAGAAGGAAAAAAGAAGGTAGGAGGAGGGAGGAGGAAAAGGAGGAACACGTACACAAGCATTTTCTATGAGCCAAGTACTTAATATCACCCCCATTTTCCCGATGAGGGAACTAAGGTACAGACAAATCAAGTAACTTGGCCAATAGCATATACATAGTTGGGTTAAATTCCTTTAGATGCTCCCATAATCTTCTGGACATGGTTCTGTCTTTGAAATCATCATATTGTTTTATAAAAGTCTATTTATAAATCTGTCTCCTCCACTAAATTCTAAGTGCCTTGAGGGTGAGAACTTTATCTAAATTATCACATATCCTTGTCATCATTCAGTAGTTGCTGATAAATGTTTGATGAATGAATGAATGAATCAACAAATGAACCAAAAACCAATGAGGGAAGTCAGCTGAAGGCTGCTGACTGTAAGGCCAGAAGTACTCCTTTGAAGGCTACACCACTGACTCACTGTGACCTTCATTTAAGACATCCCTAAAATTCTATTCTTCTAAAATACATTTCTCTTACTCCTGCCATAAAACAAATAGCTCTAACGCTTTTTAAGCAAACGTAAATGCTAACCACTCTTCTTGGATACAGAGCGTAAATATTTTTTGCAATTCAAGACATGAGCTAAATTTTCTTCCAAAAGAACTCAAAGAAGTTAAAATTTGTTTGCTAAGGAAGATTTGCTGAAAGCTAATTAGTTCTTAATGGAAACAAGATCAATGGTTTGATGTAACCTACTGTAAAATTAAGGAGCGAGAAAAGGGCAGAGCTCAGGGGAGTCAACGCATTCCTTCAGACAGTAAAGTTGCACCACCAAGGCAAAAAATTCACCTCTCTGTTGTAAACTCAATAAACCAGATCCACCAGGACAATGGTACTTATTTAAAAAAAACTCTGTCAAGTACAACGCAGATTTGATCGTGCTCTTGTGGCACAGTGGTTAAAGTGCTTGACTGCTAACCGAAAGGTCAGCGGTTTGAAACCACCAGCAGCTCCACAGGAGAAAAATGCGGCAGTCTATTTCCATAAAGGTTTATAGCCTTGGAAACCGTAGGGCAGTTCCGCTCTGTCCTGTAGGATCACTATGAGTCGAAATTGACTTCACAGCAGTGGGTTTGGTTTGGGTTTTTGTCCAGTATTTGAAGGAGAATGGTAAGATTTTGAGGGCTTCTTTATCCACTAAGAATCCTAAAAATAAGAATACATAAACCATTACATAGATCAATGACCTAAATATAAGAACTAAAACCATAAAACTCTCAGGAAGGAAAAAAAGGGGTAAACCTTAAAAGACCATGTTTTCAACAACAGATTCTCAGATACGACGTCAAAAGCATGAGCAACAACAACAACAAAAAAGATAAATTGGACTTCTTCAAAATAAAAAAATTTGGGCATCAAAGGACTTTATAAAAAAAGTGAAGAGACAGCCTACAGAATGGGAGACAATATTTGAGAATCATGTATCTGGTTAAGATTTAACATCCAGAATACATAAGTAACTCCTACAACTCAACAACAAAAAGACAATCCAATGAAAAAATGGGCAAAGGACTTAAATAGACATTTAACCAAAGAAGAAGCACAAACAGCCAATAAACACATGAAAAGATGCTCAACGTCATTAGTCACTAGGGAAGCGCAAATGAACACCACAGTGAGATACCATTTTTGACCCCCAGTAGGATGGCTATTATCAGAAAAATGGAAAACAACAGGTGTTGGTGAGGATGTTAAGAAATGAGAACCCTCATCCACTGTTGACAGTATTGTAAAATGGTGCTGCACTGTGGACAACAGTTTGGCAGTTCCTCAAAAACATAAACACAGAAATACCATATGTCTCAGCAAATATCCTAGGCATATAACCAGAAATATATTCAAATGACTTGAAAACAGGGACTCAAATGGACTCTTGTACATCAGTGTTCACTGCATTATTCACAATAGCAAACAAGTAGAAAAAACCAAGTGTCCATCAACAGATGAATGCATAAGCATTCATAACGTGGTATACCCATACAATGGAATATTATTCAGCCATAAAGAGAAATGAAGTTCTGATATATTCTGCAACATGGATGAACCTTGAAAACATTATGCTGAGTTGAAATAAATTAATAAGTCAGACCCAAAAGGACATATTGTATGATCCCTCCTACATGAAATATCTGTAATAGGCAAATGCACAGAAACAAAAGTTTACTGATGGCTACCAGGGGTGGTAGGAGGGAAAAAGGAGAAGCTATTCCTTAAGGGGCACTGAGTTTCTGTTAGTGATGAAAACATCTGGAAAAGCATAGTGGTGATGACTGCACATATGGCGAATGTAACTAATGTTACTGAATTGTACACATAACAGAGATCAATATGGCAAATGTTTTGTTACATATCTTTTACCACAAAAATTAAATTATAAAAAAATAAAAAGATCTACTGGCAACTTTGAAGGTGTACTTTCCAACTCCAAAAGTCTTCAGACATCACCTGTACAATTAAAACTAGTTTTCTTGTTTGAAAGCAAGGAGGACCTCCTCCTCTCTCCCTCTTCTGTGGACTTGGGTACTCTCTCAGACAAACTCTTCTTTGCAACACAGAAAGCAGTTACCACTATCCTAGAAACTAGTTCTAAAAATGTTGGCATATTTCTCTAGTTTCTTCAATAAGGTCAAAGCTCTACAGTACTTAGTAATACTTTGTCAACTAAATAAAACGGCAGCAAGTAATAGCCTATAAATTCTATAGAGATTTAAATAAACAACTGTTCAGTATAATATGAAGTACCAACTGACATTTTTTTTTTTAAGTACATATGTTACTATTTCTCTTTAAAGGATTTATCATTTAAAGCATCATGCATTGCACAGTGTTTTGCCAAATTCCAGTAAGGTGCAAAAATGTGAGAACAAGAGTCAAAACAGCATGACAGATGGATATTACAAATTATGAAAAACGAAAATGTGAAAAATTATAATCTTTTCTTTAACAACATCTTCAGACCACATTGATTTTATAGGTGAAAGACAAGACTAGGAAATTTGAAGTTATAATACCTGGTAAAAGTCAGGTTGTGTTCAGTCATAGCAACCAGCAGCTTCAGGGCATAAGCTGGTACTGGGTCAGGCTCTGTGAGGATGTGCTCATACCTGAAATGATAAAGGGAATTAAGGAATACTCACTTAAACCCTCCTCTGAACAGCAGAAACAATACACCCGGAGGTGCAAACATCTGGGGGAAAAAAAAGAAAGGTTCTGAAATGACTTTGTGAGCTATAGGTTACTTAATCTCACGAAGCTTCGAATAGCTTCACTTGCCAAATGATGATGATGGTAATGACCTGCCTCAGAAGTACCGTTGATGGGAGGATTCAATGAGACAATCCATGTTAAACAATTAGTACTGAGCTTGGTACACAGTAAGAGATAGATAAAGGTTATATATTGGTGTCAGGGGTCCCCAAGACCACCCCCATATTCAGAGATTTGCTAGAAGGACTCTCGCCACTCAGCATATTGCTGTATTCATGGCTAAGTTTTATTCCACTAACAATGTAAGCATATACAGCTGGATCATAAGGGGAAAAAAAATACAGAGGAGTCTGGAGGAATCCATGCCCAGTCTGCCCAGTGCTCTCTCCCTCCCAAGAGGAGTTACACAGAGTGCACTCTTCCCCCAGCATTGAAAATGGAGAAACATGTATACAATGCTTCTACCCAGGGAAGCCCATTAGACTCAGTGATCAAGGTTTGCACTGGGGGCTGGTCATGTAGCCAGCCTTCTACCTAATGTACCAAAATTCCAAACTCCCAGAAAGAAAGCAGGGATTCAGCATAAGCCACATTGTTTCCACCAACAGTATAGGCACAGTGAACTAGTCTTATCAGTTAGTTAAGCGCTGACTTAGAACCGTCCAAAAGCCAAGTTCCCACATGCCAGCTGAGAGTCAACTTTGCAGGCAGGCCTTCCTAAGGATAGCAGTCACAGACCTGCTAAGTTACCTCTTTCTCTAAACAGCGCTCTTACTATTAAATACCTTAAAATCTCAAATTAAAATTATTTCCAGAAACCAAAACTCAAAATGTCTTTATCAAATGTTTTCACAACCGGATTCTGACGGCTCTCCCATGCTGAGCAGAGGCTGGTTTATACACTATAACTTACCTATTCAGCTTTAGTTGTCTGGTATATAGCACTGTGTAGATGCTCAACAACAAAAATGTCAAATGCATGAATGAATAAACTAACCAATCAACCAATTTTGCTATTTATCTTAACTTTCTGGAACAGCCAACAACCAAAAAGGAAGCAAATATCTCTAAGAACCTGAAATAGCTGTTTAAAAAGACTTGACATGAAACAGATGCTTTCCATGGAGAGAACAGGATCCCAGGCTCCTACTAAGAGTCTATTTACTCTCATTTTGGAAATCATTAGATAACAAGTTTAATTATGTGGCCTTTATGCCCACAGTCATTAAAAAGGAAGCAAGTAAAGGGAGGAGAGGGACTATTTCAGGAAGGCAACCTGAGAATTACAAGCAGGATTTGAAAGCGTAAAAGAAAAAAAAAGAAGAGGAAGAAAGCAAACCCAAGAACTCCAGGTGGAAAATAGACTGGGGAGCATGTAACACAGAAGAAGAAATCTGTTCATACCTTAATGGGGCCTGAGGGCCTATTACACACCATGTTCCAGATGGGGTTACGGAGTCAAGATAATGTTAAATTATGTATACTGCTCTGCTTAAGGAAACAGGAAGTACTGTAGTTAAGAAAGTTTTCCTATAAAATATATTTAAATTACAGCAACTAAAAGACTTGGCTACACATGACGAAGATAAAAGACAAAATACCATTCATTATAAAATCATAAATAAAATATTAACAAATCAAAGACAGCAGTATATTAAAAAAATGCAGCATATCCAAGCATGATTAATTTTAGGAATGAAGGAATCAATATTAGAAAATCCATTAATAAATTTTATCATATAAATAAATCAAAATCAAGTAAACATCTTTATAGGTAACAAAATTTTAACATCCAATTTCATTTTTTTTAAAAAACCAACTACTCTGTGTACCAGTAAGAATTCTTCTGAAATAGAAAGCTCTTATCATCCTGAGCTGGGGATCCCCAAGACCACCCTCAGGTTCAGTGATTCACTAGAAAGACTCACAGAACTCAGAAAAGCTATTATACTAATGATTAAGGTCTATTCAGTGAAAAGAAACAGATTAAAATTGGCTAAGGCAAAAGGCACATGAGCAGAATCCAAGAGGGACCGGGCATAAGCTTCCAGTTGTCCTCTCCCAGTGGCGCTGCACAGAGAATACTTAATTCTCCCTGCAAAGATGTTTGACAATACGTGTGAAGCACTGCCAACCAGGAAAGCTCACCCAAGCCTTGGGGTCCAGGATTTATATTATGGCTTCGTCACATAGGCAGAGAGCACCCATTTGGCCGACCTTAGTTATTCAGTCTCTAGCCCTTACAGAAGTCAAGCTAATATGGCATGGCCTAGGCCCCTACCATAATTCCCATTGTTAACATAAGCTATCTGGCTAGCCCAAGGCCCCCACCATTAATCATACTGTTAGTATAAACTATCTGGTGTGGTTCAAGGTCCCAGGTATGGGAAGACACTATCAGGCAGGATATTCCAAAGGCTTAGAGGTTATCTCCCAGTAGGCAGCGTAGGGTTTCGATACCCCAAGTCTGCTGAGTTAACCCTTTATAGGGAAACTGAGAGGCACTGCCATTAAGTCAGAGATAAGACAAAAATGCCCTCTTCCACTGCTCAGCAGTATTTGGAAATAGCAGGCCAGGCTTCTAATGAGTCACTCATATTCCCCTGTAACCAGTTCCCTTTGTCCCCACTCACAGACATCAGTGAATCACTAAGGGAAGGGGTTGCAAAAATTTGTTAAAAAGTGACCTTCTTACTCACATGCTTGTGTGGAAAGCCTAAGAGAAAATATGGACAACTACTTAGAAATATAGTAGAAAAAACATTCTCAATAGTACTGAAAAATGTATCTTAAAAGGACAAAGAAAAATATATAGAACTACATTTAAAAAGAAAACACTGAAGAAACATTACTGCATGAAATAAAAATGTCTTGAGGTTGTTTGAGGTTATCTAACCTTGAAACAAGAGGAAAGGATGAAGCTTGAATCAGTCTGTGCATAAGAATTTTCCCAAGGATTATTATGTTTTTCTCCCCTTGGAAAAAGAGGGATAAAATCCATAATGGATATGTTTAGAATAGAGATAGTGAATATATTTTAGTTTAATCAACAATAACTTTGTAACGGTCAGCAAGATCTAGCCAAAAGAAGGTTTTGATTTATTAAGCTTGTCTTTTTAAGAGAGATAAGGCGGTTGAGCTGATAGTAATTGGATCCCACACTCCCTTGAAAGGGACTTGGCAGAAAACAAGCAAATAGTGATAAGCACCAGCTCCTGAAAGAGCCTGCGAGGAGAATGGCCAGTGAGGAACCTACCCACTTCGATGGACAGGAGCTGGAGAAGAACACCCTAGGTGCCCTGAGCCTGGACACACCTTGAGATGGCTGTTGGCAGAACAGCACCCTGTCCAGATAGTGTCCATAGACCCCACCTTTCTACCTCTAGGACCCCCTCCGAGCAAGGGGCCTTTGCAGCTGGAACGTAGGCAAGAAAAGTCATTCATACTAAATTCACACCCATCCAAAAGGAAAGAAAACTCCTAAAAATAACATATTCAGGGACCCACGGCCAGAATTAGGGACTCCTTGCCACTATGAGGCAAGACACTATTAGGCAAGATATATTACTCTTCATTCCCAACCCTGAAATAAAATGGACTTTTTTCTATTTCATCAAACAAACAACAGCACCAAAAAAAAAAAAAAAAACCAGTGCCGTCAAGTCAGTTCCGAATCATAGCAACCCCATAGGGCAGAACAGAACTGCCAACCTTCTGATTAGCAGCCAAGCTTTTAACCACTGCGCCAAGTGCCTGGTATAAACACTGCTCAATTAGGTAGACTGAAGAAAATTGAAACGGCCTATCTTCACAACACTGGATTACTGTGAGAAGCTATCCTGAGGGATGTATGTGTAGGGGGAGGGTACTGTATCATAAAGAGGTCCACTCCGTCGGGATTAAGCCACAAATTCACATTTCACATCTCGATGGGGTGTAAATTCCAGAATATCCAAGGGATTTTAGAGGCAAATACAATGAGAAAGATTCTGCTATGTTAAAAATTAAAGTACATTACAAAAGCACATTAATTTAGTAAGTGTAGGGTTAGCTCAAGAATAAATCAAAAGTAAAGAAAGATGGCATTTAACATTAGAAGAGAGTTCTTGTAAAGAGGCTGAGGAATCAAGCCTTACCTTATGAAAATACATTCTCAACAAATTGAAAATTTTTACTTCATTAGAATACTAAACTGAGTAAATGTTTCCATAATCTTAGGTGATAAGGCAGATTGAGCATGACACCAAATGAGAACTGAGAAAAATATTTATAGCTTCAAAGTTATGAAAAATCAAATATTTCTCAATGGCAAAACCATGGTAAACAAGCCAAATGGGGGAAAAATTACTTGCACAATGTTGGTAAAAAACAAAGAGTAATATTCTTAATGTATAAAGAGCTGTTGGAAGCCACTCTACATTGTACCTGAAAAAATGGGCAAAATCCACCTAAGAAGAACATAAATGGCCAAGAACACAGGTGGAAATGGTCAACTCCATTAAGTGCTGAAGGAATACAAGTTAAGAAGGGTACATAAAATGCTAAAAACTGTAAGTTAACTACCCCTTCCTTATAAATCAAAAAAACCAAACCCGTTGCTGTCGGGTTGATTCCAACTCATAGTGACCCTATATGACAGAACAGAACTGCTCCATAGGGTTTCCAATAAGCAGCTGGTGGATTTCAACTGCTGATCTTGGGGTTAGCAGCTGAGTTCTTAACCACTGCATCACCAGGGCTCTCCCCCTTTCTTACAGAAGTCGATTAATTCATTTTTCATAAAAGGAAACTGGCAGTATAAACTATGGTCTTTAAAAACAACTGGCAAAACATATCAAATGCCTTTCAACTGTACATAATTTTTGACACAGTGATTCCACCCCTAGAGTCAACAAAA